ATATTTTCTTTAATAAAAGAAGAATAATAAAATTTATAAAAATTTATTAAAAAAAGAAGAATGAAGAAAATGAAATAATTTATAACAAATAAAATTCTTTATTAATTTATTCAAAATTTAAGAATTATTATTTTAGTTATAATTTTTATAAAGAAATAAAAAAGAATAAAATAAAAATATTGTATTATTTTTTAGATTTTTTTGACTTTGTAACATTCTTTTTAACAACTCTATTTGGTCTAGATGCTCTCTTTGAAACTGATTTTGCTGTTCTTTTTTGAGCTGCCTTAGCTCTCTTTTGTAACATTTTAGCTCTCTTTTGTGCCTTCTTTTGAGCTGCCTTTGCTTTCTTTTGTGCCTTTTTCTGTGCTGCCTTAGCCTTCTTTTGTAACATTTTAGCTTTCTTTTGTGCCTTCTTCTGTGCTGCCTTTGCTTTCTTTTGTGCCTTCTTTTGAGCTGCTTTAGCTTTCTTTTGTGCTTTCTTTTCTGCTGCCTTAGCTTTCCTATCTTCAATTACTTGCTTTGCTTTACCAGCTAACATTTTACCTCCTGCAACACCAGCTGCTTCTGCTGCTGAATATCCATTTTTCACTGTATCTTTAATCTTTCCTTTAACACCATTTTCAGCCGCTTTCTCAACTGCTTTATTTACTTCTTTCAAAACATTATTCTTTACAGTATCAGTAGTTGCTGTTTTAACAAACTTCTTAACAGAAGAACGTGCTCCTTTTGCTAATTGTGAAATACTCTTTCCTTTTAAGCTTTTAGCACCTTTTTTAATATCTTTAAGTGATAATGTCTTAGCACCATTTGTAATTTTATCTAAATTCTTTTTATAAGTATCTTTTACTTTGATAGCATCTTTAGCATCACTAAACGTTTTCTTTACATTATTTTTAATATTAAAACTCTCTTTTGCTTTAGCCTTAAAACCTTCTTTTATTTTCTTTTTAGATAAATCTACTTTCTCTCCTGAACGAACTTGAGATAATGTTCCCATAACACCTTCTGCAACAATACCAGCAGCTTTATTAACTGCCCATCCCTTAACATTCTTTGCAAGTGTTTTACCTCCCTGTTTTAATCCTTCTTTCAAACCACCTTTTTTATATCCTTTTGAAAAGTCTGTAACTGTATCTACAGTCTTCTGTGCAACAGAAGATACAGTTTTAACAACTTTAGCACCTCCTTCTATAGTCTTTGCAGCAGCTGCAACTGGTGCAGCAATAGCATTTACTCCTGGAATTGCACTAGCAACTGTAGCAACAGTTCCTACAGTCTTAGCAACTTTTTCAACAACTCCAGCAACTTTATTAACTTTTCCAATTGCTTTAGAAACTTTTTCTCCATGTTCAGCAAACCAATTAGTTGTCTTATCTACTGTGTTTTTAAATCCTCTTTTGATATTATCCCAAAATTCTTCATCATTTAACATAAGATCTAATGAATCTTCATCATCTAAGAAAGACAATAAAGTTTCTAAGTCATTATCATTATCAACTTCATTAAACATTGAATAATCTTCTAAGAAGAAAGAATCAAAGTCTGTATTCAAGTCATAAGCAGATGAACAGCAGATGAAGAGTAGTAATGTAAATATCATAATATACAATGAATAATTCAGTTCACGCCGACAATAAATCATCTCAATTTCCACATCAAGTCAGTTATTGAACTTTATTTTTATCAACTTCTTATTAAAAACCTCTTTGGTTTTATTTATTTTGTTTTTTACCATTTTTAATTTAATTTATCTTATTATTACATTACGTGTAATTAAATTATTAAATTTGCCTAGGTTTTTTTCTCTAATCGTTTTATGTTTCTAAAATAAGAAATCTTGGTCTATAATTTCTTCAAAGAATGAAAAAGAAGATCTTATCTCTGACTCTAAAGGACATTCCAACAAGGGTTTTTATTAATTTTATTTTTTCTTTAAAGAAAGAACTTTCTATCAAAAAAAAATTATATTTTTATCTTATTGTTGTTGATTAAAACAGAACGAAATTTTTACATAAAAAATTCAATGAAAGGAAAATCTTGTTGTCTTTCCATATAATTTCTTTATCATTCTCTCTCTTTTTGATGTTGAAAATCCTTGGGGACATTGTGATGACAAACTTGCTGCATAAAATGCTGGTTCAAACCTTTGTGTTGGTAATTCATCATTTATGAATTCTTGTTGAGATGGTGTTACTTCGTCTTGTTTAAATTCATCTTCATCATCAGAGACATTGTCAATACATCCAGCTTGAGATGCAACGAAAATTGAATGGGAAGACTCCCCATAATATTCATCATTATTACGATATAGATTTTTATCTAGTTTAATAACTTCTTCTTCTTTTGATATTGATCTTATTCTTTTTGGTAAAAATGCTGGGAGACTCCATTCATTGTCTGAACTATCTTCTTTTGAAGGAGAATCAACAAGGTCAATAACAACAGGTTCTTCTTTCTTTTGTTGAATATTTTTTTTATTATGTTTTTGTTCTTCAACACCTTGTTGGCTTTCTTTAATAGAAAGATGAGGTAAGATAGAAAGAGAATCTTCTGTTGTTGAACTCAAATTTGGTTGGTCAATTTGTTCTTTAATATTTTCTTGATTATCATTTGCCTCAATCTGATCTAAGAATTGAATCAATGAATCACTCAATTCATTATTTTCATTTATTACTTTTTCTTCATCTTTCATTAATTTTTCTTTTTTTCTTTTTTGTTCATTATCAAATTTTGTTTGATGAAAAGACAATATTGTTTTATTACTTTTTATTGATTTATTGATTGATTTGATTGGTTTTGTCTCAATAACTTTCTTATTTTCTTTATTTGGAGAATTACGTTCATTTGACAAAGACCTTCTTCTCCATATACCATTTTCATCCTTTCTTAATCCCTTTCTTTTGGGTTGTTGTTTGATTTCTTGAATGAATTCATTCATATTTTCTTCATCTATCATAGGAACGAGGTGTCTGCGTTTCATCTGAAACGTTCTTTCCTCAATTTTACTTTTTTCCTACTGTCTTTTCAATTTTTTCTTTTTATTTAATAATAAAAAAAATAAAATAATAACAAGATTATTAATGATAGAAGTATTTTCTTAACACACAATAGGCTCTACAGAAGGGTCATGACTGTAATATATGATAGTCCCTTCATTAGGAACAATGTCTCTTAATTTCTTTGATATTTCATTTAAATGTTCTTTTCCCGATTTATCAAGCCATAATGCAATTTTATTGTGTTGACGAACAGAAAATGCAACACCATTAATACAATAAGCAGATGGAATAGTTTCACCAATTAAACTTAATAACTATCATTCAGTAAGAATTCTAAATTAATTTTATAAACAAAAATTCAATAACAAACGGTATCTCTCCAGTATTGTTGACATAACTCATTGTTAGCATTAGTCAAAATTATTTGTATTCTTCCACCTCCAACATTACTAGTGTCTTCCCATATTGGTTTAATTCCATTTTTGAATAATGAAACATCTGATCCATTTTCCATTGTTCCTAATTTAGGAATAGCATCATATATTCCCCAAAATTCTTCAGCAGTTTTGAAGCTTCCAATAGGGACAATGTTTGATCCATATGTTTCAGTTGATTTATTTGAAAATCCATCAAACCAAAAAGTCCATTCACTGAATAATTTATGTTCCATCTCTATTTTTAATATCAAGTTCATATTTTTTTCTTTGAAAAAACATTTTTTTTGTTATAAAATTTTGTCATTTTTTACTAATAAGAACTTAGAAATAGAAAAGAAATTGTGATAGTTTTATGACAATTCTCATTATTTTGAACTTATTTGTATTTAACTCAATTGCCATAACATGTCAAAAATCATATTATAAAAAGAATGGAGATTGTATTAAATGCCCTTTGTATTGTTATGAAGGTTCTTGTTTAGATGAAGTAGGTTGTACAAAGTGCAAAGAAGGAAATTTTCTTTCAGATGATGGTAAATGTTATTCATGCCAAACTGGATGTTTTTCTTGCACTGATTCAATTCATTGTCAAAAGTGTAGTAATGGATTTGTTAAACGAGAGGATAAATGTTGTATGGCTTGTTTGTTTGAATCTTTAATGTCTACAATACAAAAGGTTTAACTAAGAGAATAGATTGTGATGTTCATTGTAAATGTAACTCATGTAATGAAAATGGTTGTATGTCATGTGTTAATGGATTTTATTTGAATAATAGTCAGTGTGTTTCATGTCCTTTGCACTGTGATTTATGTACATATAATCAATGTTTTGCCTGTGAAAATGGATATTCATATGATTCAATTACAAAATCATGTATCGAAAATAAGAATAATAACTTCACATTGAGATTCATCTTTACTATTCTTTGTGCAAGTATATGTCTTTTATTTATTATTGCAATAAGTTCTATCTTTCTTATTTTAAAAAGAGAACGTGAAGAGAGAATGAAAAAAGTTGTTAAAGCTCTTCTTTAGTAATTTGATATTTTTATTCTTGTTAATTTTAAATTACATTAAATTCTACTTTTTTCAATGGTTTCACGCTTAAGAGTTTAAGTATTGAAAGAGAATAGATAACAATTTCTTGTTAAAGATCTTTAGAATATACAAAAATAATAGATGTCTTAAAAAATATGTAAAGGTTTAATAACTACATTGGAATATTCTTTTGATGCTTGAGATTTGATTGGTTGGATTAATGACTTTTCCATAAGTCTTTTCAATTGTCAGCTTGAAAGGTCAAGTTCTTTATTATTTAAGGAAGAAATTTCTCAAAAAAAAATATTATCATACTATGAAAGCATTTTCAAGACAAAGTATTAATCCTTGTATCATTGCAACTCAATATGCTGTTAGAGGAAAATTAGTATTAGAGGCAAATGAGATTCAAAAAGAAATTGAAGAAGCAAGGAAAAAAGGAAAAAATAATCCTTATCCATTTGAGAAAGTAGTTTATTGTAATATTGGTAATCCACAGATATGTAACCAACAACCATTAACATATCCAAGGCAGATTATCTCAATAGTTGAATATCCTGAGCTTTTAAATCATACAGCCCTTTTTCCGAAAGATGTTATCAATCATGCTAAAAAAATTATTAATAGTCTTGGCTGTACTGGAACAAGTGGTGCATATACTAATTCTATGGGAGTTATTCAATTCAGAAAAACAATTTGTAAATTCATAAAACATAGAGATGGAACTGCACCATCTCCTGATGACGTATTTATAACCGATGGAGCATCTACTGGAATAAAAATGATTTTAAATATGTTGATTTCACATCCTCTTCATGGAATTATGATTCCCATTCCACAATACCCATTATATAGTGCATCAATATCTCAATTCGGAGGTTTTCAAATTAATTACTTTCTAGATGAATCAAAAAAATGGTCAACAGATATGACATCTGTAAGAAAAGTTTATGAACAAGCTGTTGAAAAAGGTATTCAAGTGAAAGGGTTTGTTTGTATTAACCCAGGTAATCCAACTGGACAAGTTCTTACAGTCCAAAATATGAAAGAAATTATAGAATTTTGTTATGAAAAAAAAATTTGTTTATTAGCTGATGAAGTATATCAAGAGAATATCTACGGTGAAATACCATTTACATCATTTAGAAAGGTATTAAAGTCGATGAGGGATGAAGTGAAAAATAGTGTTGAGCTTATCTCATTTTTTAGTGTTTCAAAAGGATTTTATGGTGAATGTGGAAAGCGAGGTGGATATTTCCAGATAGAAAATATTAATTCATTTGCTCGTTCTCAGATGTATAAAATAGCATCTACCAATTTATGTTCAAACGTAGTTGGTCAAGAGATGGTTGAAATAATTTGCAATCCACCAAAAGAAGGTGATGAATCTTATCCAAAATACATGAATGAAAAAATGTCTATCTTAAACTCTTTGAAAAGAAAAGCAAAGTTACTCCATTCTGTTCTAAATGAGTGTGAAGGAATTTCTTGTAATGAAGCTATGGGTGCTCTTTATCTTTTCCCAAAGATTACATTCCCAAACAAATTTATTGATGAGTGTAAAAGAAAGGATCAAAAACCAGATGAATTGTATTGTTTAAGGATGTTAAAAAGTATAGGGGTGTGTGTTGTTCCAGGATCTGGTTTCGGTCAAAAGGATAATACTTATCATTTTAGAATTGCCATTCTACCACCAGAAAATGAAATACAGAATATTGCCATTAAAATAAAGACTTTTCATACATCTTTTATGAAGGAATATAGTCACTAACATATTACACTTAACTTATATACTTCTTGTAACTCATTTATTATTTTTTAAATAAAATAAAATCATTAAAACAATGACATTCTTAGATATATTTTTCTCATATTCTTTACTTCTAATCTTCTGATTGACATTTTTTAGTGTCTTTTCTAACATAAAAATTAGATAATTAAGGTTAATACATTGGTAGTTTATTATTATTTGATTAAATAGAATAACAAAATCATAAAACGTTGAAAACATTAATAGTTAATGTTTTATTTATTATTTAGACTTTCTTCTTGTTTTGTGAATAAATCTTTTTATTTTATTTCTTTATATTATTGTTTTGCTTTATGTTTATTTCTTCTTTTTATCTTCTTCTTTGATTGTTATTTCAATTTTAATGAATTTCATCTTTCTTTATTTTCTTGTTTTATGATATAATTTAAAAATATTTCATTATCATTATATTATTATGT